TCCCTCACAAGATGGTTTCAAGCCTGTTTTCCTGGCCTAAGAATTTTCTTAGTCTGTGTGTCAGGAACGATTCCCAGAAACACTGGATTGTGTTAAAGCAGGATAGGTTCTGCTGCCTGAGGCCACTGTCACTGGGCCAGGAGGTTCTTGATGGCTCTTCAGAGCTGCCACTTCAGCCCTTTGTATCTCCAAAAAGAAGGTTGGTACAGATTTTCTGATGCAGGCATTATGGGGAGGGGGAGCTCAAGTAAGGTGAAAAAGCTATAACAAACTTCTCGTCAGCGCTGTTGGCTCAGATGTGGTGGTGCTCATGTGTACTGTTAAGCAGGGCATCTGTCATTCACTGAGAAGGAAACAAACTTAAGGAGCAGAGGTGCCCATTAAGAAAAAAGTGGCTTGTTCTGCTTCGGTGGCCCGGGGTTCACTGGTTCGGATCCTGGGTACAGACATGGCACCACTTGGCAAGCCATGCTATGGTAGGTGTCCCACATATAAAGTAGGGGAAGATGGGCACAGATGTTAGCTCAGGGCCGGTCTTCCTCAGCAAAAAGAGGAAGATTGGCAGCTGATGTTGGCTCGGGACTAATCTTCCTCAAAAAAATAAATGTGGTTTAGGGAAGATGTTCAACATCATTAACTATCACGGAAATGCAAAGCAAAACTACAATGAGATATCACCTCACACCCATCAGAATGGCTACAATTAACAAGACAGGAAATAACAAGTGTTGGAGAGGATGTGAAGAAAAGGGGACCCTCATACACTGCTGATGGGAGTGCAAACTGGTGCAGCCACTATGGAAAACAGTATGGAGCTTCCTCAAAAAATTAAGAATAGAACTACCATACGATCCAGCTATTCCACTGCTGGGTGTTTATCCAAAGAACACAAATGCATAAAGACATATGCACCCCTATGTTCGTCGCAGCATTATTCACAATAGCCAAGACTTGGAAGCAGCTTAGGTGCCCATCAAGGGATGAATGGATAAAGAAGATGTGGTATATATACACAATGGAATATTACTCAGTCATAAGAAACGATGAAATCCAGCCATTTGTGACAACATGGATGGACCTTGAGAGTATTATGCTAAGCGAAATAAGTTAGAGGGAGAAAGTCAAATACTGTATGATCTCTCTCGTAAGTAGAAGATAAAAACAACAACAAACAATCACATAGAGACAAAGATTGGATTGGTGGTTACCAGAGGGGAAGCGAGGAGGAAGGAGGGCGAAAGGAGTGATTAGGTACACGTGTGTGGTAATGGATGGTAATTAGTCTTTGGGTCGTGAACATGATGTAATCTACACAGAAATCAAAATATAATGATGTATACCTGAGATTTATATAATGTTATAAACCAGTGTTACCACAATAAAAAATAATTTTTTTTAAACGGCTCAAACTGAGATAGTGCAGACAATGTGTGTGGTTAGTGAGCTGTGATACAGAGTGGTAGATTTCTTATTTTGCCAAGTTATAGGTAATAAATTTTAAGAACTCTTCAGGATTAAAAGTAGCCCCTGGTACAGTCAGAGGGTTCAGAGGGAGCAGCAAAGCTCTGTTTAGAGCCAGGATACATGGGCTTGGAGGTGGCAAGGTGTCTAGGAACCTCGTGAAACTTACTGCAGAATTTTGTGCATAAATATTTCTGGGGAGATGGCCTGAAGCTGTCATTAGATTGGTAAAGCAGTCTTCACCCACCAGTTCACGTGAAAATTGATGCCCACTCAAGGTGGTACAGTCTCCTTGTGTGAGGTGGTTACCCTGTGTAAGTGTGTAGTGGTCTCCTGTGTCCTCCAGAAGAAAGAGACACAGACCCCAGGAAACCAGATATCCTATGACCTCGTTGCCTGAGGGAACTTACGAGACTACTTGTAAAGTGTCTGCAAGAGGGGAGTGGAATAGAATGGAAAGGAAAGTTTCCCCAAGCATGCTAAAGATAGACTGTCAAACAAAATGTGGACACACAGAAGGGGGAGGATTGACTGGGTTTGGAATGAAATGGAGAAAAGGAAACAAGCTGAGTCTCCAGGGGGAAACTTTGTGACCACAAGAATGAGTAGGTCGTGGCCCTGTCATTCTAGAGGAGGTTGGAGCAACTCCATTAGTGGGAAGTTTTCAGGAAATGTGGATGTGATAGAAGGACAAACACGGGCTGACCTTGAAGAGGGCTCTTCTGGAGACCTGCACACACCACTTCCCACGGGACTGTTGGACAATACCTGGAGCTGGCTCTACAGTTTCTCCTGCATTCGGCACACACAAACAGACACCACCTGAGAGCCAAATTCAGGACCCGCTTGCCACAGCAGAAGAGTCATGAGCAAGATATTTGATTCACTTGCGTTTTTGGATAGGAATGGTTCTTGAAATAATCCAAAAAGTGTAGTTTGAGGATTTTTTTTTAAGACAATTAAAGTCTGATATTACAGATCCAAGACACTTTATAATAAGACTCTTTGCACTGAATCAAAGAGAAATGTAAGTGGTTGCTACCATTCATTCTCCTTCTGTGCTTCATAGCTGCCATCTTAAGGGTATTGGTTCTTCCTTCAAGGGAAGGTGAGTGTATCAGAGGGGCCTCTAGGCTCCCAGGGTAGAAGCTGTTTTCCATAGAGGCTTTGCGACATGGACAGCTTCTCTGCACTGGGCTCTCTCCTTTCCCCACTGGAAACACCTATGGATCCTTCAGATGGCCTTCTTTCGGGAAGCATTGTCTCTGAGCTTGGGGTTTGAATGGTTTGGCTGCTGAAAAGGAAGGCAGGAGGAATGTTTGCCAGCCCAGGCTGAAAGGTTCTGCTACTGACTGGAGCTCCCTCCCTTCTCCCGAGCCCACTCTGTGGCTCAGCACATCTGGCTTTTCCATGCTCATGAATCTTATTTCCCACAGCATTGATCTCAGAGCATTTCCACTTTCTTTATGCTCTGAAGCCTCCCCCAGACTCCTCCCCATTCTTTTTCTTACACTTGACTCTATAGACTGGGGCTATCTGATATGAGCACTTTCAATTTCCCTCTTCTTCCCTTCAAGATCACCTCCCTTGCCTCTTGCCTCCCCTTCCTTCCTGCCTCCTCTCCAAGCCCCTCTTCCTCTCATGGATGGGTGACCTCTACTTGGCCTGAGAGCCTTTCGTTCTCTTGTATCTTCAATCTTCCTTTTTACTTGCTTCTTCCCTTCACCCTGCGAACACAGCACAATCCTCTGTCCTGCCATCCTTCTGGAAGCAGACATCCACACTCAATGCATTGCCTCCACTGCTAGCCATCCACCTATCCTGAACCCAAAGCTCCCCAAACTTTTTCACATCATGACACGCAGAGAAGATGTTGCTATTTGAATGGCACATGGGGTGTGCACGCCAGGCTGATGGAAGGCAGAGCTCTGGCTGCCCTCCTGGTGAGAGGAACCATTATGGCGTGGCAGCATCTCGTAATCTATTCACAGCACAAGCCTGAAAGCTTTGCAGTTTGACTCTGTACCCCCCCCCTCATATTTTTCCCCCTAAAACAGGCTTCCTAAAGATCACCAATAAGCAAATGCTAAAAGCGAAGACTTTTTCTTTGTTTTCATCCTCCTTGAGTCCAAGTGGTATCTGACATATGCTAGAGGTTAAAAGCTCGGACTCTGGGGCACAACTGCCCGGGTTCAGTTCCTGGTTTTGCCATTCTCTAGCGGTATGACCCCGGGCACATTACTTAGTGTGGCTGTGCCTTAGTTTCCTCGTTTGCAGAATGAGGATAATAAAACACTTACCTCATAGGGTTGCCATGTGAATTAAATAGTTGTTGTGTGTATAGTATGGAAAGTGTATATATGGTGCCTGTCTACGTGCTACGTGTCTGTTGTTGCTTTTGTGTACCTCTTTCTTAAAGCCTTTTTCTCCTGCTTTTCCTAACAGTGGATGCTTCTGATTTTTCTCCTATCTCTTTGAGCTCTCTTGTTTTTCATCTCCAGCTTCTCTTTTTGCTCCCTAAAATGGGGGAGGTGGTTGAGAATGCAGCTTCAACTCTTTTCCTTGGACTTTCCAGTTGATGATGCCTGCTCCCCTCCTCCAGACTAGTCATCTCCCCGTGCCCCAGGCCCACACCCCGACTGCCTGCTACATGCCCACATCTGGATCTCCTCCTCGCATCTCAGACTCAGGAGTCCCCAAGATATTTTGTTTGTTTTATTTTTGTTTTAAAAGTAATAAATGCTCATCATAGAAAATACAGACAAATTGAAAGGATAAAATACAGATCAACAGTAATTCTACCACTCAGCAAGCACTACCGCTAAACTTGGGTGTATCTGCTTTGAGCCCAGTGGGTCTTATCCTGGACCGAGTTTCCCCCAGGGGAAGTTTGGCAGTGTGTGGACACATTTGTGGTTGTCAGCTCCAAGGGTTGAGGGGAGGTGCTGCTGGCATTTAGTAGGTAGAATTCAAGGATACTGATAAATAAAGATTTTACAATGCACAGGACAGCCCCCCGTCCAACAACAAAGAATTAGTCCAATAGTGCTGAGCTTGAGAAGCCCTCTTCTGGACCTTTATTTCTACATAAATGCCCCAAATAGAGTAAGTTGGAGGTGGTTTTCTCTTTCTGCCTCCATCCTGCTTCTCTACCTGTGTTCTCTGTTTCTGTCAGTGGCCCCCCCCCTTCTCCCTCATCCCACATCTGATCCATTACCAAGCCCACAGATTCCCCATCTGTCATCATTCATTGATGAAAAAGCCTCCAGCAGGTCCTTCACTTCAAGTCTCCTTCTTGGCCTTGCCTGTGCCACCGCATGCATGGAGGCCTTCCCTCGGCCTCCACTGCCTGTTAAGTCTAAGCTCCCTGAGGGCAGTAGCTTCTGCATCTGATTGGTCTGTATGCCTAGCCAGAACCTAACACCATTCTGAGTGCAAAGTCAGTGCTCAGTAAATCCCTGTAGAATGTGTATGCATAAATGGTTGCATGAAAGGAAAACTTGAGAAAAATTCTCCTCACAGCCTGTTCATCTCTGCAGATCCTTGATGAATGGTTTGGCCGGACTATCATCCGCTCCTGCACCAAACTGAGCTATGAACATGCACAGAGCATGATTGAAAGCCCTACTAAGAAAATCCCTGAGAAGGAGCTGCCCCCCATCTCCCCGGAGCACACCAGTGAGGAGGTACACCGGGCTGTCTTGAATCTCCACGGAATTGCAAAGGAGCTACGCAAGCAGCGATTTGTGGATGGCGCCCTGCGTTTGGATCAGGTCAGTCACCCTTTTTTTCAATGCAACCAACAGATTGGACTTGTGCCTGAACCCAGTATGCATGAGATTTAGCATGACAGTCTTGGGCCCTTCCCTCCTGCTTTCCACAATCGCTGCACTAAAACAGTGTTCTCTGAGGCAGGCGGGAGCTAACTCCCACCCAGCCTCCCGAACTCCACAGGCTCACGAGGCCTAATGACGTGAGTCAGGGCAAAAGGGTGGTGTCTCTGTGGGCGACTCTGTGACCAAAACTCCTAGCTGGTCTTCCCTGGTAAGGCTGTGTCCAGTATTTGATCCTCACCTCAGTTTCTACCTCAAATCCCTCTTAATGGAGGCAGGAACAGGAAACATGGAAGTTTAGAAGGCAGTTAATCAGTATCTGATTGTGAGGCTTAAAAAAAAGTGCTTCTTAATCTCTGTCTTCCAGAAAGAGTTACGTGTTTACAAATTCTAGATTACTATCTGAAGAAGCAGAGAACTGAGGAGTCTGTAGAACGTTGGCTATTGGAGAAAATGATGACCTGGAATGGTAGAGACTACTCGAGGCCCTGCCAGGCCTTCTGGGACTCAGACAGCTGTCACTCAAACCCAGTCGAATTACCATGTCTGACACTTGGTAACTCTTAAGATCCAGGAATTATTTCCTCATTACTTGTCAGGACATTATAGAGTAGAGCCTGTGTTCTGTATCGTGCAATTTTTTTCTTCTCATTTATGCTTCTTACGCAAACCCCAGAGAACTGGCTTTCCCTGGTCACTGTGTGCTATGGGAAACCTCTGGGTGTTTGAAAAATGAGTTGGGCCACAGGCCTGGCTGAGGGAGCTGTTTATCAGACCATTGGCAGAGCATAGCCTCACAGAGAATTCTTTCTCTGAACCTTTGAGCCTGGAGAGATCTCAAAAGTCTTATTTTAAAACTTTCTACTCGAAGATTTCGTTTCATCCCACCTTTTGTGATATACTTAACACAAATGCTTCTCAGCGGACATTGTAAATGGTTACTGCCCTGGGCCTAGGAATAAGTTAACAGCTCTTGGGATGAGTGGGTAATCTGTTCTGCCTGTGCTTGTGGGAGTCAAGGTGTCTTCTGGAGCTCTCGTGCTCCTCCTTCCCTTGCCTGGGCTCAGGCAGCCTGAGCAGTCTGCTCAAGAATGCTGATAAGGAGACAGTAGGCAGAGTGGCTGCTGAAGAAGACAGCAAAGCCAGTGGAAGAGGACCAAAGGCATAGGAGATGACAGAATATCTCTTTCCTTCCTTGAGTGAAGTCCTTTGGGGGGGTGTGAACATGCTGTCATTGTCACTCACCAGTGGCTGCCTGGTTGTCAAATCCAAGGATGCTTTTTAGTTCTTGCTTCCTAGTCTTCTGTCCTGCATTTGACCCTTTGTAGCTTCACCTCTTGCTTCTCTGCTTCCCTTCGTACATCTTCAGTGATGTCCTGCTGGTCCCTTTACAGAAGCCTCTTCCTCTGCTCACCCCTTTAGGATTGGCATTCCCTGGGGGTCTACCCCACCCTCTTTCTTTTTCCTCCATCCACACTCCCTTCCTGAATGAATTCCTCTACTCATAGGATTTTAACTACCAACTGGATGCTGATGATGCCACAATCTGTCTCTCTAGCCCTGCCCTCCTTCCCAGGCTCCAGACAAGCCTCTCCACCTGCCTTCTTGAACTCGTCGCCTGGATGCCCCATGATCATCTCAGCCAGTGCTCATCATTCCTTCTGCAGGACACAGTGGTCAGTGCCCATGGCATGTTACACACACTGGCTAGTGCTCCTTTCTACCTCTGTTCCCACCAGGGGAATTGTGTGTATCAGGGTCAACCCTATGTATTCCCAAACCTGGTTATGCCACTTGTACATGTTGTTTTATCATTATGCAGTTTTACTGACTATTAGGTAAACTGATCAAATAAGAGCATAAAACAGACAGCTATTGTTTCTGTGAAAAATAAGTTAAATTGTTTGGAAAAACTTGATGGGGATGAATCTTCAAAAATTCTGCTATCTGGTTGTGACAACTATAGAAGAGTAGGGGAAAAAATCATAAAATTCAGGGAGAATTCTATACCCAGATTGCTTTACAATGTCTAAGTTCTCACTCTCTTTTAAAGAAACAAAAACTAAATTATAGTTAATGAATTATGAGTGTAGTTTATTCAGAAAAAAATAGAAATCCAATTAACATATTCTTTTTTAAAAGATTTACATTTTTTAAAAAACAGTGAATGGATGTACATTTATGTAAATTAAGTTAAAACAAATGTTTAGTTATATATCTGTCTCTTCTGTATGATTCTTCTCTTTAGCTAGCTTCTTCGAATAACTAACCATCGCTTCAAGCACATCAAATGAGAGGGTTTCTGTTATAACATTTTAGAGACCTTAGCCCATCAGATTGCTATAAAGGTCAATTGAATTAAATATGCAAAGCACTCTAGAAACTGTGAAAGACTTAGTGATCTCAGCTCACATGAGGAGGGGTATGGTAGTCAGGGTAGAAGAGTGATCACGGGTTATTGATGGATACTGATCTGTTGGCGTGTCGTAAAATCAGAATTCTATTGCTGAAAATAACCTGAGGTATCTAAATCTCCTTGGCCCTCTCAATTTATAAATTAGAATGCCGAAGCCCCAAAGAGTAAATGAGTTGCTTCTGTACAAGAAATAGCTCACACTTTGTTCTCTTTTCCTTGGTTTACACCGTGCTGACTTAAAAGAGAAAAGTTTTCCTCCTTCAAAGTGAGGAAAAAACCCTCAAAAGTCCTAAGTAGGTTCCAGTTAATTAAGGTTTGAAAATAATGGATTTGCATCCTTGGAGTTGATTCCTTGGGTTCCCCAGAAAACAAGTGTGTGGAGCACAGCTTTAGAAGGAGGAGCGCATCCGTCTCCCACAGCCAGGGCCACTGGCAAGATCCTTTATAAATCAGCCGATGGCCCCATTCAGAAGTCATCGCGTTTGTTCTTCTGTGCGTACCGCCTGCATTTGCCCTCACAACAATCCATTTTTCCTTGGCGCTTTTGGTGTAGCTGCTAGAGTTGCTCTCTGATGCTTTGTTTGCCTCCATTCACTATGTCCACATTTTTGGTGGCAGTGCCCCAAAATATGTCCTTTTACACTAGCCTCAGGGAAGCTCTGTGAGAGGCCTCTCTGAAAGGGGATACCATCCATCACACAGTATGCCCTTGAGTGCAGAATAAATCTGCTAAACCAGAAGTTTCGTCTTTCCAAGAAATCAGTTTCCATGATGACCTTCAGAATGAGTGAGGTGGAGGACGCTAGTATGATGCCTATTTGTTGAGTGAAGGACCAGCTGGTTCGGAGATCACAGTGACGGCAGAAATACAGAGCAGTTTGACCACTGGGTGATTGCAGTCAACAGCTTAGACCAGAGCTGCCTCGCCTTTGGCTGAGACAGTGCATCCTCAGCCCTCAGGCTGGCTCCAGGCCCCTGGGGACTCCTGCTAGCAGTCCTATCTGCTTACCCTAGTGTGCTATCAAGTACTAGCAAGTTCTGTATGTGCTGTGAAGTGAAACAGATTGGGAAGCACTGCATTCGAGGTCAGATTACCTGCTCCAAGTTTCTCTTTTACCTCAAGCTCGAACCTAGTTCTAAAGGGTTCTAGCTCAGCGAAATGATGCTCTTCTGTTTCACTGCCCAGAAAGCACGTGTAGGTGCCACATGTGTTATTTGTGCTTTTTGATTGGATGAGTTGAATGATATCCCTTCCAGATGGTTTCTTCCATCATCATGTTTTCTGCTGCCGTGTTAATTCTAGAATTTAACACAGATGCTTATTTTATTTTATTTATTATAATGTATGTCACTCCTATTTCTTAAAAGGAGACTCCTGTAAAGGAAGCCCAGACTTTTTTGTGTTTGTAGTAAAAGTAATCATAATGGCTTATAATCATTTGCAGATCTTGAGCTCTGGGGAAAGGGAAGTGTAAGAAGCCCTCACTCCTTGTTTTGGTTCTTGTTTTGTCACTCAGACCTCCTGACAGGCCTTGGGAGTGCGCAGAGCTCCCTGGCACTCCCGGGCTCAAAGCCAGCTCCCAGGCAGCCTCCCTTCTAGGGATGAAGAGGACACTGACTATGATATGACGACAGTGCCTCGCTCCTTTGGAGTTGTGTTTTAGCCATGGCTTTCAGAAAGGATAGGAAGGGAGAATAGTGGGGTGCTAAACAGAACCCCAAAACAAAACATGCTAGGGAATATTGATTGTTTTCAGGAAACTACACCTACACCTTTCTGGGACTTTCTCTCCAGCCCCACTTAGCTCAGTCAGGTGATAGCACTTAGAGAGAGGCCACTCTGTGAGGACTTCTGGAGAGACAAGCATGATGGCCTGCAGGAAACTGCCACTCCTGGGGTCCCCCCAAGGAGGTCAGGGGATGTGAATGGCTCCTACTGAGCCACTGACTTTCTGAATTTAAGAGAATGTTGTAGTGAAGAAAATTTGATATTTCCATCTTCTTAGGCAAATTCCTCCAAACTAGAGGAGCCTTTACTAAATTCTTATATGCACCTTATTTGAATCTCACCTGGCACAGTTTTCAAGCCCAAACTTCAGGCAGTTTCTTTGAGTGGACTTGATTGTAAAGATAAACTTGTTAGTGGAAAGAATTTTTAAATACCTTGGGACACAAGTTGCTGTGAAATGCTATTATGGATGACATTGGCCTAGCCCAGCCTTTAAGTTAGGGGTCAGCAGACTTTCTGTAAAGGGCCAGACAGTAAATACTTTAGGCTTTGTGGGCCATATGGTCACTGTCTCAACCACTCAACTCTTCTGTTGTAGTAGTGTTAAACCACCCAGAGACAGACAAACGAATGTGGCTGTGTTCCAATAAGGCTAGAAAGATACTGAAATTTGAATTTCATAAAATTTTCATGTCACAAAATAGTATTCTTCCTTTGATTACTTTTCGATCATTTAAAAATGTAAAAACTATCCTTAGCTCTTAGGCCATACAAAAGCAGGTGGAGGGCCAGATT